AAAACCATTAAAAAATGAAGATGAAATAAGTAACCCATTCTTCGACCTAATTGGAACTGCTTAGAACAAAAGCGGATTAAAATCTCCCCCAATGAAATTCATTTGCAATTTCATAGGTAGTCCCTACTTACACTTCTATAATTTTGAGAAAACATTGCAATTTCATCAATAGTCCCCACTCGTGGGCCAATTTCAATTGCAAGCAAATTTGCACCCTTGCAATAGCTTCTCACATCATAGCAAGTGTAGGATGCAATTGCACCTCCTTGCCACATCATCTTGCAAGTCCCAAAAATTGCACCATTGGAGATGACCATTACTGCATCTCGTCACCTGTCTTAGGGAAATTAGCCATGGCAAATTCAAAAAAATACTGCATGCATAGAAAAATATTGGTCTGGACAATTAAAAAATGGGAGACTTTCCTAGTCAGATGATGTACTGGCTCCCCTCAGTACCTGACAGTTTTGAGTGCTGGAGAATTAAGGAAAAGACAAAAGACTGAAAAAAACCCAACAAAGCCTTAGTAAACTTCTTAACAGAAGACATCCATTGCTGGCCCCTTTGCTGCTCCAACGCTCCACCCCGCCCTGCATCAATCGACTCTCATGTAAGCCGAGGACGTTTGCTTGAGGATGCCTCAGGGGTCTCTTCATGCTCCGTATGCCGAATGTCAATAAAAGTATTGGTCAATTCAGCGATACGGTACACTGGCAAATAAGCGCACTGGCCCTCCTTAACATAAACCCCCATATCCATCCCAACCCTTTCAAGAAAGGTGGTCACGAAGGTGGCATATGGAAAGGCAGTGTACCAGTTTTCCCCTCTAGGAGCAGCCTCAACCATGTTCAGGCACATGAGAGATGCGAGGTTAACAGGAACACCTCTTTGAGCTTGCACAAGGATAAACAGGTCAAGTTTACGAATAATCGAATGACGACGGTACCTTGGCATGAAGCAGTTGACGATCATCCAGTGGAGGAATCGAAGAGGATCTGGGAGGAAAGAAGCCTGGATGCGCCCCTTCGTCAGTTTTGCCAGTTCAACTTCAAACTCAAAATCGTACAGCCGCCCAAGATCACTTCTACTATCAATGGGGTGTCCTGCGACGGAGAGATCGAGGATTTCAGCAAAATGATGAGGTTGGAAGCAGACTCTATGTCCCAGGAAGATCGACACGAGATGAGAATCACAGGGACCAGAAAGCTCTAAATTGTGGTATAACTTCCTCACCACATGCGGGCAGTAACTGGTGCTTCCTCGACTCCGGAGATCAATGAACTTTTCCCATCCAAGATTTTTTATTAACTTCTTCACTTCTTGAGGGAAAAGACTTAGATGGATGAACTCGTTCTCGACCACAATTGATGTTTTGCTTGTAAATGAAAGATAGTCACCGAGACTTGCGGTGGATCGACAGTCTTCATTTGATAGAGATAGTATCCCCATTTCCGCAAACGATTTACCTTTGTTTGCCATGGATTCTGGAAGAAGAAGGAACAAGGGAAGGTGAAGATGGAGGAAAAAGAGAATGTAGGTGTAAGAAAAAGTGATCGTGGGGGTTGAGTGTGGAGACGTGAGTGTGATGGAGACGGTTGAGTCTGGAATGTCAAGAGTTAGAAGATTTCGGAAGATATGTAGTAATGATGATGGTAACTCGTGTAGGTTAAACTAGGGTAAGTAAAGCTAGTTAAACTAGGATTGGCGCACGAATTGATACGGCAGGGGAAAACAAATGGGCTCGCACGTTCCAGGCCCACTTTTGAATATTGCATGGGTCATGTACAAGCCCACGTTTGAATGTTATTTAAAAGCCTTCAAAAATCAATGATCAGACCCAGTCTAACTAGAATTACACCTAAACGCATCGTTAATACATAAACACAAACTAAGGAGACCTCTCCATCCGATTTGAATCAAATTATGTGTTCTTCATCTTCTTCCTCAATCCTCTGGGCGAGACGAACACTACATATCAGGAAACCTAAATTTCACCGAGAGATATAAGGTTCGAGAATATCTCAATAACGCTAAGACAAGATGACAAAACACTAGCGACATGAACCCTAGGGTTAGCAAACCTCTTTCAAAGGTTCTTTTGCAAATGAAAAGTTTGATGAACACAATAATAGACATGGTCGCCGTAATCGTGTTAGAAAGAGATAGGCGACGGGAAATAAAATGGCGAAGAAGAAACAAGACAAAATAAATTGGGAAATTCAATCTACGTCGAATGTCGATGCAAGTAATTGGGATTCAAAAAGATGATTAAGTTGGGGAGTTCAAATTGGATGGGGAGCTTCTCTTGGAACTGTGAAGAGGCGTCCCTCCAAGACGAGAGAGGGATCGTGTAATTGGTTAGGGAGACTGGAAATTGGTTAGGGCGGCAGTGGGTCTACCCAATTGGGTTTGCAGTTTTAATCCATTTAATTTAATCGGGGCAGTTAGTTGGACTAGGATTGAAAAAAAAACTTAACGCGGCAGTAGCCTTTTTGTAATTTGTTTAGTTATTTAGTGGCGCAGGAAGGTTTAACAAATGTGAGCCGTGGAGATTGAAAACGAATGGTTAAGATCGGCCAAGGTACCCGTACCCGGATTTTGCCCTGGGCACCGTAGAAGTCACCATATATATATATATATATATATATATATATATATATATATATATATGTATATATATATATATATGTATATATGTGTATATATATGTATATATATGTATATATATGTATATATATGATTAATACGTATACTTATTCGATCGATAATCCGATTTTCGCCGAAATATTATCAAAACGCTCGATTTTAAATCGCGAACTTTCTAGCGATCGAATTATGGGTTTTGCCAGAATGGGATGTTACAATAACAAGTCCAAGTTTCGTTTTATGCAGGTTTGGTACTAAATTGTTGCTGGTTTGCTGCATGCTGCTACTACTCTTGTTGCAGGTCTGCTAACGGAGTGAATTGAGGATTTTTTATTTTTTGTTTGTTAAGCATCTAATACGGTGGCTTGGCCTGCTAGCAAGGTTGTTATTGTTGGATCAACAGTTTGTGAAGCATGGATAGGTAAGCTTTTAGGATCACCTTTGACAGAGTCAAAATGCTTGAGCAATTAAAATACTTGAACGAAACTTGGAGCTGATTTTGCAAGCCATAAATAAGTCCCAACGTCCAAAATTGAAACAAAAGAAAGTCAAAATGTGGAGGTTTTAAGGTTACTGACAAATGGTATATTGATAGTTTTAGATTTGTTGGTAGAATATCACATGACAATTATTCTTCAGCCAAACGAGTTATTTAAAATCAATTAACATATAAATAGTATATAAGTATCGCAATCTCAAATAATGAGTTATTAAGATCCTATATAAAAAAGGAGTTATTTAATCCTATAAATACTACATTGTCAATTAATCAGTTTCTTTATTTTCAGGGGTGGAACCAGGATTTGGTGGTCCATCGAAGGCAGATTCTTACGCTATACCACAAGACGGTGTTAAACTTAATTATAATAATAAGCAAAAAAAAATTTGGTAGAAAATATTTTAATATTATTGTAACTGTCCTTTTTAGACTATTAAAGTAACACAAATAAGATCTAAACTACAAAATGCTAACATGATAGGTTCAATATATATTAGAAAAATATGAGTTTTAATGTTGTGTAAGTGTATAATGTTGCTGGCGTCGAGCATGAGATGCCTGCTTCACGGCGAGCCTTCTTCCTCTTCTTTTACCTGAAACCCTATATCGACTTTTGCCAAGAGTAAGTGCAGAATGAAGCACAACTTGAAAGAATGCTTGAAATGAAAATAGACGAAGAGTAAGATTGATTCGGGTCTTTCTTTCAAAGAGAATGGGCTAGTTTCCTATGGCCCAGTTAGATGACCGTTGCAGCCCAGTAGTTAAACGCAGTGGATTATATATTCCTTCTGAAGCTGTGCGTTTCAAACTTCCAGACCCAACTCCTTCTTCCTGTTTCTGAAAGTCACGTCCCCTATTTGCAGAATGACTCACACAACCTTGCAAAAACAGAGCAACTAAGAAACACGAATTAAACGTAATAAACGAAACAATGAACACAATCACTTTTTACGTGGTTTCCAGAGCTGGGTAAAGATGAATCCCAACTCTGACTATTCCACGGTCGGATGATCACGATGAGGTGATTTCCGACGTTCCACTAAGCTCGAAGCTCTTTATATTTTTACAATTCTACACCAATGAAATCAATCGTCACAATCCTGTAAGTCGATTGACTTGTCTACACCCTGATCTCACCCAGCTATCCAGCTACAGTGTTTTAACCAACACTTGCCAACTCAAATTCTCTCCAGAATATGAATCAGCCTCTCTTTTCGTATCAATCACACTAGCTATACTCTTAGCTCTCCTTGTATGAATGATCTCCCGAAAAGTGACTATGATTGATTCAGAGTGTGCTTTTTATACTCCTCAGTGACTAGCCGTTGCTGCTCAAGAAGGGTAAGTCTTTTCCTTTGAAATCTTTCCTGAAATGCTCGACTAATGAAACCTTCCGCTCCAAACATATCTTCCTTAATTGCCCAATGATTCTTTCCAAAGCTGGATCACCAAGACCACGATTTCTTTCCTTTGTTCTGTGATTCATGACTGGCTTGCTTACAACATTCTCCCCCTAAGCCAGTCAATGATCCCCTCAGCTGCCTATGAAGTTCCTGCATACATTTAACACACGGTTACGTGCAGACTATTCTAAACAGTTTGACAGAGACAAATCACACAGCATGAGAATTGAACGAAGAACATGTTATTCAACTATCAGATCCGAAACTCAAAATATTGAGACACAGTCTCGAGAGACACAAAGACACGCGCTCAGACAGAGCTTTATTGACCTTCAACACTGCAAATACTAAGACATACTTATTACAAAAACACAAACTATCAGACTCCCCCTAAGATCAATACTTATTAATAAAACACAACCTATCAGACTCCCCCTAAGATCAATACTCCCCTAAAAAGAAAACTTAGGTGATGGCACATAATCAGAAATTGCATCTTCATCCTCCATCATCATATTATTGCTGCTGCTGCTTGCTTCCTCCTACCTGAACATGGCTTGAACAGCCTCCAAAGGATCCACCATAGGTCGTTTGCCGTTATCTCTGACCGCTCCAACCAAATCTTCTATTTCTGGTTCTTCCACTGCTTCATCCCCACCCAACTCAGCAAGACTGAGTCCATCCTCATAAGAAGGAAAAGCATGGGCAGCTGTTTCTCCCCCTGGAGCATTGACCAGAGGGCGTCGACGGCCAACAGAAGCATCGACCTTGCACAGAATGAACTGAGCACGAAGAGAACTCAGCATGTCCACACGAGCCACTTTGAACCTCAAGTCTATTCCTAAGGCCAACCGAATCTGAGTGATCTGTGGAGCAAAAGGAAGCTCTGCCTCATAATTATCAGTATGGTAGTTCAACATATGGTCGAACATCAAGTGAGGATAGCTTATAACCCGATTCTCCTTGGCACTAGCGAGGATCCATAAGTCAGAAGGATAAATGGTATTGAGCCCAAACGATCGAGGTAGGAAGAGTCGAGTTATGTAAAAGTGCAATACTTTGAGATCATCAGGGAGTCTCCCAGAATGGAATTCAGAGGGATAATAGCAACCTGTATCACAAGTATACATACGCAGAGCATCTCCCTCATTGAACTCAACAGAATGAAATTCAGACTCATTCATGACTTCAGCTCCAGAGATAGGAATGCCAAGTAGCAGTGACAGCAACTCCACATTGATAGTGATCAGATAATTATACACTATTGTAGTGAAACATGGTGGAGAGATGTGAAAACATGGCTTCATGTTCGCATAAAACATGCGCACAGATTCAGGTCGAAACCCAAAGTTTCAATTTGGAAGGATGTCACCCCAGCCAATGGTGTTGATCAGGCGATGGATATCCATCCCATACCTGTTGAACTTGGATGGATCGAGAGTGATGGAAGGATGTAGTGTACGATCTTGGAACTAAAGAAGATAACGAGCATAGCCAGCTGCGTCCTCAAACCCTTTGCCATTGAAAATAGCAGCTTGAGCCAAACGCAAGGCAGCCACATGTTGATTGGGCGCAACCATGATTAGTTCGGAAGAGTAAGGAAGTGTTAGATTTCTAAAGGAAGGGTTTTGACCCTAAGGCTTTATAGAGGAACCGAGGATCATCTAAGGAAAGATAGATCCAAAATAAGGTAAGAAGAGACTTGGTCTGAAAGCTCAGAGGTTCCATGAATCATGGAGATTTTGAGTAGGAAAGGCAACCCAGATTCGTAATAAGGGAGGAAATCAGGATTGAGCAGACAATTCAACTATCTCTTTCAAGTTGAATAACCCTAGCTCTCGTCGAATACGAATGAAAGGTTCAGAGCCCAAAGGCTTTGTGAAGATATCAGCCCATTGAAAGTTAGAGGGAACAAACTCTAAGTGAATTATATTCTCTTGAACCAGCTCCCTAATGAAATGAAACCGAATCTTTATGTGCTTGGTTTTAGAATGTTGAACAGGGTTCTTGGACACGTTTATTGCACTCGTATTATCACATAGTACTGGTAGGGATCCAAATTCTAGGCCATAGTCAAGCAATTGATATTTCATCCATAACAGCTGAGTGCAACAGCACCCTGCTGCAATGTATTTTGCTTCTGCAGTTGACAAGGCAACAGAATTCTGTTTCTTGCTGAACCATGCCACAAGAGAAGTTCCCATAAAGTGACAGCTTCCAGAAGTGCTCTTCCGATCAACTATGCATCCTGCATAGTCTGAATCAGAGTACCCTACCAACTCTAAACTTGATTCACACGAGTACCATAGCCCAAAATCAATAGTTCCTGCCAAATATCTAAAAATCCTCTTGACAGTAGACAGATGACTATCCTTAGGTGCACTTTGAAACCGAGCACACACACACACACTAAATAAAATGTCAGGTCTACTAGCAGTCACGTACAGAAGAGATCCAATTAGTCCCCTATACAATTTCTCATCTACCGAATTTCCAGATTCATCTTTATCTATTTTAAGTGAAGAGGCCATGGGAGTAATAGCAGTTTTTAGATTTCCAAGGTCAAAACGTTCTAGCATGTTTTGAATGTATTTGGATTGACAGATGAAGATTCCCTTAGAAGTCCGTTTTATCTGTAATCCCAGAAAGTAATTGAGCTCACCCATCAGGCTCATTTCAAAGTTAGTCTTCATAAGTTTTTCAAAATCTAGACACATTTCCTTACTAGTTCCCCCAAATATTATGTCATCGACATATACTTGGACTAACAGCAACTGTCCTGACTTTTGTTTAGTGAAGAGAGTCTTATCAACTGACCCTCTATGAAAACCGTTTTCTAACAGAATAGAGCTCAGTTTATCATACCAAGCTCCGGGGGCTTGTTTTAAACCATACAGAGCTTTCTTTAATCTATACACATGATTAGGGTATTTTTGATCTTCAAATCCAAGAGGTTGTGCAACATACACTTCCTCTTTTAGATCCCCATTTAGGAAGGCACTTTTGAAATCCATTTGGTATAGTTTAATTCTAGAAGCACTAGCAAAAGTACACAACATCCTAACAGCTTCAAGACGAGCTACAGGGGCAAAGGTTTCGTCAAAATCTATGCCCTCCTCCTGATTGTATCCTTGTGCTACCAATCTAGCCCTGTTTCTAGTTATTACCCCAATTTCATCCGTTTTATTTTTATAAATCCATTTTGTCCCGATAATCACTCTATTTTCCGGTTTTGGAACAAGTTCCCAAACATTCGCTCTCTCAAACTGATGCATTTCATCAAACATGGCAGCAGTCCAGAATTCATCAGACAAGGCCTCTTGTATAGACTTTGGTTCAATCATCGACACAATTGCAGTATGAGAAGGTAAAGCTTTAGATCTAGTGAGCATACCTTTGTCAATGGGGCCAATTATTTGGGCAGGAGGATGTCGTTTGGTGATGTAAGCTGGAGGTTGAGTCTCAACAGAAGTTGAGCTTGCTCCTACTCCTCTGTCAGACATGGATGAGTTACTATTCTCCTCATTATTTTGCACCTCCTGATCCAAAAGGTTTGGATCTGCATTTCCAGTCGATTTCTCCTCCTGAACTTGGTGCTCTGAATTCTTGTCTAAGACCAGGGGTGATGGCCTTCCGAGACCAAAATCATCATCATCAAAAACATATGTAATCTCAATAGTAGCTTCATCAAATACCACATTAATGGATTCCTCAACTTTGAGGGTCCTTTTATTAAAAATTCTATAAGCCTTGCTAGAATTCGAATACCCCAAAAACACAGCTTCATCTGATTTTGCATCAAACTTCCCAAGATTGTCCTTTGTATTCATAGCAAAACACTTACACCTAAAGGTACGAAAGTATCCCAGATTAGGTCTTCTACCTTTCCAAATCTCATAAGGAGTTTTATTCAGACCAGACCTAATTAAGGCTCTATTGACTACATAGCATGCTGTATTTAGTGATGGCAATGGGTCAGGGCGGGGCGGGTACCTCAATACCCATGCCCCGCCCCACGCTATTACGGGTCGGGGCGGGTAATACCCGCGCGGGAATGGGTCGGGGCGGGTCGACCCACTCTCACATGCTATTTGAGAAAAATACACGCACAATTTTACTATTTATGATAAAACGAAGGGGAAAATACTTGATGAATGAATAATAGTGATAATATAATAAGTAATTGAGTCTATTTAGTTGAAAGATCAAATCTAAATAGTCGAATAAAAGTCAAAATATGAGATATATAAATGGATGGGGTACAAAATTGACATAGAACGGGTAAGAATGGGGCGGGGCGGGGCAGGGCGGGTCGGAAGTTGATACCCATGCCCCGCCCCACGCTAATGCGGGTCGGGTAATACCTGCCCCATCGCGGGTCAGGTCGGGTATTACCCGGCGGGGCGGGTTCAAATTGCCATCCCTACAGGCTGTATTAATGGCTTCATCCCAAAAATATTTTGGAATGCCATAGTCATGAAGCATGGTGCGTGCAATGTCAATCAAAGTCCTGTTTTTCCTTTCTACTACCCCATTTTGTTGAGGGGTTCTTGGGGCAGAAAAGTTGTGAAATATTCCTAGTTCATTGCAAAACACTTCAAAGAGACCAGAAGAGAATTCTCCTCCATGGTCACTTCGAATGCTGTATACTTTTGACATTGTTTCATTCTCAATTCGTTTAAGTAGGATCTTAAAGTTTGCAAGAGCTTCATCTTTTTTGGCCAAAAACAGGACCCGTGTAAATCTTGAGAAATCATCAACTATCACAAAAGCATATGATTTACCCCCATAACTTACTACATTTGTGGGTCCAAATAAGTCTAGGTGTAAAAGCTCCAAAGGTCTAGAAGTAGAGATGACTGGTGTACTTTTGAAGCTAGTTCTGGTTTGTTTTCCTTTTGCACATGCATCACAAAAGAATTCCTGTTTCTCATTCATTCTGGGCAGACCCTTAACCAACCCCAAACGCGCTAATTTGGATAGAGTGCTAACGTTCACATGCCCTAGACGTCTATGCCAGTCTTATTGTGGATTTCTGTTCAAACTAACTAGGCAAGTTTCATTGAAGTTGTCTTTATCATTAAGATCAATAGTATATATCTTACCATTTCGTTTCCCAGTGAACACGATTTGTTTTGACTTAATGTTTTCAACATAACAGCAGTTTGGTTCAAAAATCACTCTGTTCTCCTTACCACACATCTGACTAATCGACATTAGATTGTGTTTTAAGCCACTAACTAGCATTACATTTTTTATTGAGGGGCATGATCCCACCTGTCCTTTCCCAATAATTTCAGCAGAATTATTATCACCAAAAAATACTTTACCGAAGCTTCCTAGCTCAAGACTTGAAAATAAAACTTTGTTACCTGTCATATGATGTGAGCAACCACTGTCCATGATCCACTTAGAGGGCTCCATGCTCACTTGGAGACAACTCTACACACACATAAGTAATGTTGTTTTTCTAACCCAGACTTGCTTGGGTGGTCTTGAAGGAAACTTATGCCAATCAGAAACTCTTTGTGAGTAATCAAGCATATTGATTTTACTTTTCCTACTTTCTGATCTCAATCTCCTTTTACAATCTCTTATAACATGACCAAACTTGTGGCAATAATAGCATTCAACTGGCTTATGGTGTTCAGCCCTGTTAACATTCTTCAGCTGATCGAGGTACCCTTGAATTTGACTCTCAAGTTTTTTACATTCCAGCTGATAATTGTCATTTTCCTTTTTCGTAATTGACAAGCTAGTCTCAAGACTCTTTTCTCTTAATTCACTCGCGGCTAATAAATTCTCAAGTTCTGTTATTCTCAAGATATTGCTCTCATTTTCTTTCTTTAAGAGTGAATACTTTGATTTAACATTTCCAAATTTTAGTTGAATTTCCCTAATGGTATCAACCAGCATGTCATCATCACTTTCATACTCAATTGGTGATTCAAAGATACTTACCTGCGAGGGACATCTCCTTGAGGCCTCTTTTTCTTCTTCCTTTTCTTCAGCAATCGCCATGAATGATCTGTGCACTGTTACTTCCTCATCCTCATCTCCTTCATCTTCACTGCCACTCCAAGTCGCAGCATATGCATTTTCTTTCTTCAGTTGAGGACAATCAGCTTTGATATGTCCTGATCTCCCACATTTAAAACATCCTGTTGTATTTACTCCTTTGAAATTTTGTATACCTTCATTTCGTCCTCGAGCAGCTGTCCTTAATTGCCCAGATTGCGTACCTCTTTCATTTCTCTCAAACTCTCTAAATTTAGACCCTCCAGACTTCTTCTCTTTTCTAATCCTGAGAAGTCTACTAATC